GCTCTGCTCATTAACTCCCTTTAGCACATGCCTCATTTGTGTGATGTCCAAAGTAAAAATTAACAATTCACTACTGGTTAAAAAAAACCACACAAGCATGTCTGCCTTTAAAAAAAGCAGGCATTTATGTCTTTTATAGTTTACTATTCTAGAAATACATCATTGTGTTTCTTTATGACAATGATTATAAAATTTTATCAATAGCATCCAGAGTTGCACAACTAGAACATACTGGATGGTAAACAGAACTTTAATTTCTCTCTCCTCATTCCAAACCCAGAATCTGCCCTAAATGTTTGTGGTATTCTGTAAATTAGATTTGGGGTGTCCAAGGAGCTGCATTTAGGGAGGGGAATAATAATTTTTGTTGCACTAGCTAAAAAATATTTTTGCTCACACAGCTAGACAGTCAGATTGTTTCCCCTGAATTAAAATAGAGGATAGATATTCAGGATGAAGATTTGCACACCTATTTCCTCCTTCACACAAGTGCATGGACTGCCTCACACATGACATGAAACATAGGATTCTAAACCATATTATTTAAATGAGACACATAATTTTAAGCATTTAAATTTGTGCAAATCATTCAAATCTTCAGATTGAATCGAGTGACTGGGAATTGCTTCGAAAGGCGATTCAGAGGATTAAGGGATTTTTACGCTTGTTAGTCTTAGAGGATTTAATTCCATATGTCAACCACATTGGATGAAGATAAATGCTGTATGGAACTCTCTGTTATTGGCCAGAATAACCAGACAATGGGTTTTACCTTCACCAATTCTGCTTATCAGAGGATCAGGTGCATCAGTTTTCTCCTAGAATTTGTTTAGGCAGATTCATTTGGAAGTTTACTTGGCACATTCTAATATTATTTTTATTACTTCCTCATCTGTGGGTGTACTTTCACTTTTCCAATTTGGTGCATATATGATTCTACCGTGTTTCTCACAAAATAAGGCCGGGCCTTATTTTTTTTTGACCCCCGAAAAAATGGCTAGGCCGTCTTTTGGGGGGTGACTTAATTTCCTCCCCCTTGCATCCTCGGGCGGGCGGGTGGCGATGGCTTGGATGTTGACCTCGGCGTTGGTGGGGCACTTCGTATCGGGAGACCTTCCGCCACCGTTGCTTTCCCTTCTCCCCGTGCTGCTGTGCCGTTTAGAGCAACGCTGCGGCATTTGGCGCAGCCACGCGCAGCCAGCCAGGGCTCCTCCCTGCAACCGGAGCCCAGCGGAGACACTCGGCTTCAGGCGGTCCTGACGCTGCCTTCCCTTCGCCTTCAGAGGCAAAGCCAATTCTTTTAAAAATGATGCCCTACTACAGGTACGACAAAGCCTCCCCTGCCCGAGAGGGCAGCCCAACCCCACGTGGGGAGGTGAATCCCCCGGGGCCGCAGGATCGGCCCACCCCGGGAGAAGCACCCAGCCACCATCCCTGCCTGGCGCCGGGCAGAGCGCGAAGAGCTTCGCCTGGGGCACCCAGCGCAGCTGACAGGCGGGCCCTCCTGCCCGGCAGCGGAGCTCTTGCCAAGGCAGCGAGCTCTTCCCTGCCGGGCCCTCCGCTCATCCCACCAGGGCTGCGCCAGAGCCGTGTGGGCTGGGCAGAGCCGGGAAAGCGAGCCGTGTGTGCGCGCCCGCCTACCAAGTGAAAGAGTCAGGCCAACCCGAGGTTGGCTTCCTTCCCAAGTCCCTCCAGCCCGAACCCAAAGGGGCCACCAGGAGAGGCCGCCTGAGCCAGTGATAGCGCCTACCCATCCATGGACAGGGAGGCAAGCTGACGGCCTGCACCGCGTCCTCCTCCAAGCTGAGCCCCGCCAAGTGAACACCTCTGCCCGATGCCCGTGCCACTGCAGCGTTTGGAGCAGCCGGCGCGTTTGGAGATGTGTGGGACGGGGACGGGCTGGTCGAGGGGTGAAAAGGACGGGCGGCTTCGGGCTCTCTCCACCGGACCCGCCGGCCAGGGAAGCAGTGTTGCCGTTGCCCCAAATCAGCCCCGAATCGAAGCAGCTCAGGGCGCTCCAGCGGCGAGCATGGATCGAAACCGTGCATGATCGTGGATTTCAGTCCGTCGCCAAAGAAGCCGAAACTGGAAGTCGGATAGCTTTGTTCTTTATTTGTCTTCTTGCTCAGTTGCTTGTTTGTCTCTTTTCTTCTCTCCCTTCAGAAGCCTTGTCAAGTTACTGACTCCAGATGGAGTCCATAACATTTACAACATTTTTGTGTTGGCCCCCATACATTACCCCCAGATGTCTGTGAAGCTCCAACCCTCACAGATTTTACAAAATAATTAAAGACACTGTTCTTTCACTAGGTCTTCAACTCCAGCTAAATCTTTATTGGCCCTCACCTGAGGAAGATTAATTTATTGCCATTATTTTTTTTAACATTTTGATTTACTCTACTGTTGCTTATAGAATTTTAACTCTTGTACCTGCCCAAGAGTATTCGAACTGCATTGTCTATAAAAACTGTAAATAACTAAATAACTCAGGTCATTCAAGAACCATCTATGCGGCATCTCCATAGATGCCTTGATACGGCTACATGACCCTGCCCATTTCCCCATGGATTTTCCAGCATGGCTGACCCACCATGGCCCTTTGTCAATGGCTGGTCCTCCACTGCCGATATACCACTGCCACAACTTCTCCACTGCTACTCTGAAGCTGTCTAATTGTGGCTGATGCATCGCAAGCCAAATTTTCATGGCTAATTTCCACCCCAAGGATGATTAAATGCACCTCTCTAGGGCTTCTATCTCACTTTTGCTGCATGGCTGATGGGGAGAGGCACAAGGGGTGTTGGCAGCAGCAGTGCTGGAAAGCAGTGGTGGTATAGCGAGGGCTGGGGGGGCAGCTGCAGTATCACGTTTGCTAGCAGTGTTTGGATGGTGGGGGTGGGAATGACAGTGAGGTTTTGCCAGCAACCTTTGGATAACTGAAGAAAGTGGCTGAAATGTACTATTCTTATTACCAGGACAGTGGTGGTATTCAATTTTTTTTACTACCGGTTCTGTGGGCATGGCTTGGTAGGAGTGGCATGGCTTGGTGGGTGTGGCATAGTGGGTGTGGTAGGGGAAGGATACTGCAAAATCTCATTCCCTCCCTACCCCACTAACCTGCTTTCCAACTCCGTTCTCCTATGCAGGGCAACAAAAGAAAAACCCAGCCAATCAGCTGGGACTTGGGAGGCAGAGAATAGATGGGGGCAGGGGCAGTCAGAGGTGGGATTTGCCGGTTCTCCAAACTACTCAAAATTTCCACTACTGGTTCTCCAGAACTGGTCAGAACCTACTGAATACCCACCTCTGTACCAGGATCTTTTATCTACTTTTCCAGCAAGAGACACGCACCAACACGCACACCTCTTCCATGGATTTAAATGAAACATTAATGTTTAATCATGTTTCCTCGTTGGTTCGGTTGGGATGAACTTTGGGGTTGTCCATGGAAGGGGGTGGATGGGTGGATTGCATGTTTCTGGCTGGAAAGGTGGGTTTCGGGATGCTGATGGCTTACTTTAAAATGATTCCCAACTCCCCCCCCCCTTTCCCGCCCCCCCTTTCTGGCTTCCTTTTCATCAAAGTTCAGCCACTGTGAGAATGACAATCGATCAGATTCTGGTAGCCAAGCAACTGGGTTGAGTGCCAAGACACACACATACCGTTTTGGAGCTGTGGTAGCTTTCCTGCCGACCTCCCCCATCCTGCTTTTAATCTTTTGATTTAGCACAACAAGCCCCCCCTTTTTTTTCTTCCCTCCCCTGCCTACTTCTCAAAAGCATTTTTCCTTCCTTCCTTCCTTCCTTCCTTCCTCCACCTCCTCCTCCTCCTCCTTTCTTCCTCCATCTGGACAGTATCAAAGGATTGTGGAAATATTCAGCACAGCCTGAGTAACACTAAGAAGATCTGAGCCAATATCTGAGAGATGCTTTGCATAATCCTCAGAACACCCTGCAAAGCTTTTCGTGGCATTTTCTTATTTAGATTGGGTAAGTCTCTTGAAATAGGATGGTCAGGCAGTTGTCAGTGGATGCAATAAGTATATTTCATCACCTCTCAGGCACAAGAAACCAAGGCCACACCGTAGTTGATGAAATGGACTTTGTTACTGCTGCAATGCCTACTTACAAAAATCTCACCAGACTGATTTCATTCTCTTGGGAACAGTCAGGTAAGACTTCAGGGACTCTGGGGGAGGTAAAGCCCGCACTCTTTTTGTTGTGCAAGGCCTCTAAACTCAGGCCCTTCTTCACCTCTCCTCACTTCAGCTGAAGATTCCACCATGCCACCCTTATTACCAGTAGGTATCCCTTAATATAAGTTCTCCACCTCTTGGATTTCCTCCAGTGGTGCTCTAGGTACCACTTAGGTGACCCTGGTGACACAAATAAACCTCCAGGTGGCCTAACGACTCGCTAAAAAGAATGCAAATGACCAGCTGTCTGCAAGGAGTATAAATCCTTCCATTCCCCACAATCCAGTCAGAGCTGAAGAAGCTTCTTGGTTGAGAAGCGAAATGTCTTCAAAGAAAAACCGGACAGTCCAGTTGCTTCTTGAAAAAAAGCACCTTTGGGACAACCATGACCTGGATGACTGAGAATCTCCATAGATACCTCTTATGCTACTTCATCTCCTGTAGTCTTTCTGAAAATGAGTGGACCCTCGAGGATCGAGAGTGTGTCCCAATGCAAGGCTGCTATTTGCTCATTCCAAGCAGCAGCCAAAGCCTCAGCCAAACCTCTCTTATTCACATGTTACTAATTTAACAACTGCAGTGATTCACCTAACAACTGTGGTGAGAAAGTTTGTAAAATGGGGTGAAATTCACTTAACAACCATCTCACTTAGCAACAGAAATATTGGGTTCAATTGCAGTCACAATTGGAGGTCTACCTGAATACGACATATTTATACTACTGTCACGGGATTTGCTAAAAGTCTGGTTTTATGTGGTTCTGTTTTCATAATGATAAACTGAAATATTTTGAGGCTTTTCAATGTCTTTTTTAAATTCTTTTTTATCTTCTCTTCCAGCCATCCTCATATCAGGCTACCAGAATATAAACATACACAAGTACACATATAGAAATCCATGGGCAGCATGTGTGTTTTAAGGGAAGATGCAAGTAAGTTATTTGCTATTTTTGTGAAGAAAAGATAAAAGGATATTCATTAATCCATGGACCGTTGGAAGTTCAGAGGCAGATTATCAGTGACTGGATAGGTTTAGAAGAGAAACTTCAAACAATAATTAGCTAGCATTCTCTGTCCTTGGCTAGTTTGGATGAAGAAAGTGAGAACTACAATTGGTTGAAGATAGTCTCAGCAAGCTCCAGACCAGACATACAGACATACAGACAGACAGACAGACACACACACACACACACACACACAGAGAGAGAGAGAGAGAGAGAGAGAGAGAGAGAGCTATGACTGCCACTATGCCTAAAGCATTGGAGATCTGCAAATGTTGAAAACAAAGGGTCTTGTGAATGAACGGTCAATAGGAAGACTTGCTGATACGACAGATCTCAGGGTGGCTGGGTTGGAAGAGATAAAAGCCTTTGGTCTGGAAGCGCTCTTACAGTGGGCAAGGACTGACACTGATGTGTACTTTTAACTGCATGGATAGGCCAAAGATGGTGGTTGGAACTTCTGTTCGTAGACCTCCTTCCTCCCAACTTTTCCACCCTGTTCCTTTTACAGAGCCTGAGCAGGTTTAGGCCAAGACCGAGTCAGCACAAAATCTGTGATGGAAGTGGGAAAGTAAGAGAGAGGAATGAAGATATACTGGGAATCCCATCCAGCAGAATAGCGTGTATGGGGGTATTTGGATATCAAAGCATGCTCCATACAGTCAGTCACCATGTAGAGGTCTGTGGAGCAACGAGCTTCAATGTTGTCTTTGAACCCCTTGTAAACTGTTTTGAGAGAGAAAGAAACAGAGAGGGAGGGAGGGAGGGAGGGAGGGAGGGAGGGAGGGAGGGAAGAGAGAGCAGGTGGAAGGGAAAGAAAAAAAGTCAGTATGGAGATATGGGGTCAAAATACCAGAGAGAATATAAATAAATAAAAGAGCCTCCTCATTACTACATGAATGAAACAATGATAGTTTTTAAATTTAAGGACAGCTTTCTCTGAATTTCGGAAGTTTCTAAGATGGGAAAACTCTCCCCAGAATTATTGCAAAAACCAAAGCACTGGTAAGCTCTACAAGCTCTGTTATTACAGCTCAGCATGGAAAAACAGAATTGCGTTTTAGGAGAGGACTTTCAGACCAGGAGAAATGTCCAGTCCATGAATGGATGCCTTGACATCAAGGGTTAGGACACCAAAGTCATTCTTGGCTGACTCTCCCAGGCCATTTTACTTCCTCATCAAAAGCCCAGAAAATTTTTCCTTGCTGCATGATTTTATAAAGCATCTGGAAATTAAGACCATTTTTTTTAAAAAAAACCTTCCAGATTTCAACCCATTCATCCACTTTGGCCACAATGATGTCTGGGGCTTCTGTCCAAATCTGAGTGTACATGGCCCTAACTGGTGGATTCCTGTGCCTCTTCCCCCACAGGCACACCTATATCAGGAATCTAAGTGCCAATTGCTTTCCATACTGTGGGCAGGACGGTCCTTTTTATAACCGTAGGGAAAAAAAGACAACTTTAGATTAGAGGTGTTGATACAACTGAGCAATGGCACCCAACCAAGAGGTCCAAGCAGTGGAGTTCAATGCATGTGAGTTCAATGCACCCTGTATGATGGGTGCCACTGCAGCTGAGCAACAGTCCCTTCCAACTTCTGACTCTTGGTAAGCTTCCCCTAATTAGCCTTCAAGCCAATAAAGACTTACATGAATCAAAGTAAGGCTGGCCATAGCTTTCTTTGATTTCCTTTGGGATTTTGATCCATTGCTGCTCCAGGATCGCAAGACTTTTTGGGACATCAGTCATGGATGTGCGGAAATAGCCTGGCTCGATTATGGCTACTTTCACCCCAAATGAATGGATCTCACGCCTAGAAAGAAATTATCAGTTCAGAGTCACTGCCTGGGAGGAGGGGGGTGCTGCTTCTTCCTCTAGCAGAGCATGAGAGATTTCAAGAAATCTGGTCATTTTCAATCTGGTGATAAAATAACCATTTCTACATCAATCCTGACATGGAAATGTTCTCTTTGCCATTAAAGCAATTCCCATCTTTTGTTTCACTTGATTATTAATGAATGCTAATAAATTATTGCTCTCTGCATGGGATTTCAGGGCAGAGATTCTTCTATTTCAGCAAGCACATACTGAACTAAAGCCACCTACTATGCCTTTCACAACCTTTCTTAAGTTACAGCAGGGGTCCCCAACCGCCGGTCCGCGGACCGGTACCGGTCCACGGAACAAGTCTTACCAGGCCGCTGGTTGCTGGGCGCCGCCATCTTTTTTTGATAAAAAAGTGCTTCCGGTGAGCTTTTCCGGGTAGAAAGCTCACCGGAAGCACTTTTTCATCAAAAAAAGATGGCGGCGCCAGCGCTTCCGGTGAGCTTTTCCGGGTAGAAAGCCATTTCTACCCGAAAAAGCTCACCAAAAAGATGGCGGCGCCCAGTTGATGCCGGTACCGGGCCGCGGCGCCCAGCTGATGCCGGTACCGGGCCGCAGCATAAAAAAGGTTGGGGATCACTGCGTTACAGAGTCATTAGGGCGATAATAATATATGGGTACTACTACACAGTATGTCACAGAAGTGAGTACACCCCCTCACATTTTGTAAATATTTAAGTGTATCTTTTCATGTAACAACACTGAAGAAATGACACTTAGCTACAATGTAGTCAGTATACAGCTTATATAACAGTGTAAATGTGCTGTCTCCTCAAAATAACACAACACATAGCCATTAATGCCTAAACATTTATAAAATGTGAGGGGGTATACTCACTTCTGTGACATACTACCGTGTTTCTCATATAATAAGGCCGGGTCTTTTTTTTTTTTTTTTTTTGAGCCCTGAAAAAATGGCTAGGCTGTCTTTTCGGGGGTGACTTAATTCCCCCCCACTTGCATCTTCGGGTGGGTGGGCGGCAACGGCTTGGATGTTGACCTCAGCATTGGTGGGGCACTTCGTATCGGGGTCAACGCAGGCAGCACCATATCCAGGTGTGCCACAAAAGTACTTCCTAACGGCAAGCCCCCCCACCATTCCCCCCAATTTTGCATGTTTTAATATAGGCCTTAATTTGGGGAGAGGGGCTTAATTTCATTTCATGCCTAAAAAACATGCTGGGACTTCCTATTGGGGGAGGCCGTATTGTTGGAGAAACAGGGTATATATGTCAGTTTAAAGTTCTGGAGGAAAGGCACATTATTTGTTCAAAAGATGAGGAAATAAATACATTAACTGGATTGATAAACTTTTAAAACCAGATTGATTTTCAGAAAATAAACTAATTTTCTGAACAGTTTAACCAAATAATAACTTGGGCCATTTTCTCAAATGAGACCAGATATAATAGGCACACCTAGCAAAGCCATTGACTGAATTCCACTTTATTGCTCCTTGTCTATCTAGGTCAGGAACGTGGAAACGTTTACTCCTTCTCAGACATCCACTCAAACCTGCTATTTGAAGCGGCATGAGATTACCTGAGACTGTCAGAGAAAGCCTCCACTCCATACTTTGAGAGACAGTAGCCACCTCCTATGGTACTTAGTCTGCCCATGATGCTGGACATGTTGACCACTCTTCCCTTGGCCTTCTTCACCAAGGGCAACATATGCAGTGTCACATCAATCAGCCCAATTAGATTGACATTCAGCACTTTTATATAATCCTCTTTGGTCAGCCATTCATTGGGGAATATGGGGTGTATAATTCCAGCATTATTTACCAAGCCCCAGAGTCCTGCAAAAAAAAAAAAAACATAGCAAGTATATAAAACTTTAGAAAGAGACTGAAAATCTAGCCCAGGCTGAGCAGAGGGTTTTTTTGGGGGGTGGGGGTGGGGGAGGGAATCAGTTAATATAAAAGCAAATTTATTTTTCCTCTTCATGTCAGTATCTTTAGTTTAAATGGGATGTCCTCAAAAATCTTCTATGTGTGTTTCCTAGCCTAAGAGGAAATGTCCTTGAATAAAATTGAATTAACAGCCAAAACACCTTGAAATAATGTTTTAATCAGCACTAACTACATAATGCCATGGTCTCAGATTAAACATATCATTAAAAGGTATCATAAGGAATTGTTCCTAATCTTATGACACCTTATGAGATATTTAATTTCACAAGGAGACTTTCCTAAACAATTTATAATCTGCTCCAGGTTATTGAGAACCTGTTTATAGTTGAGCCACTGTACCTTTGTTGCCCACACATTCTTTTACCCATGCAGTTGCTGTCTCAATGCTCTCGGTACTGGTGACTTCCAGCAGGGTGGTTTTCAAACGATCCGATGAGAGTCTCTCCAGTTCCTGTGCTCCTTTCTGGGTGAGACAAGCAGCCAACACCCGCAGACCCTTGGCATCCAGTTGCCTGGCCAGCTGGTTTCCAAAACCAGAATCACAGCCAGTGATGAAGACATATTTCTCTCTCAAATTGTCTACCTGCTGCCTTTCCCGATAGGATCGTATCACAAAGTACAGCAAAACTGCCAATGCCAGGTAGAACCACATGCTTGTTAAAATTTAAGATCTTTGGGTTTCCTGTTTTGTTTTGTTCTTAAACCAATTCTCCTGGTCTTTTTTCTTCTATCTGTCGTCCTTCTGATGTCGATGGGTAGCAATGTGTTTCCAGGAGAACTGGCATGGAAAATCCCATTCACAGATTAATGGTTAATGATATGTTTGCAGTAGCTGCTCTGTAGTTCATTGCACCTTTCCTTTAGCAAATAATATCCTCAGCAGGGTGGCCAATTCTGTCAATGTAACTTCACATGGGATAAACCACCAGTGCAGATCTCACTATTATCCATCTGCATAGGTCACAGGTCACAGCTAAACTGAAATATGCATCATACAGGCAGAGGTGGTATTCAGCAGGTTCTGACCAATTCTGGAGAACCGGCAGTGGAAATGTTGAGTAGTTCAGAGAACAGGCAAATACCACCTCTGACTGGCCCCAGCCCCTTCTATTCTTTGCCTCGGCTAGGTCTTCTTTTGTTGCCCTGCACAGGAGAACAGAGCTGGAGAGCAGGTTAGTGGGGTGGGGATGGAATGGGGATTTTACAGTATCCTTCCCCTGCCACACCCACCAAGCCACATCCACAGAACCGGTAGTAAAAAAAAATTGAATCCCACCACAGGGTTATTTTTGAAGTGGATCTAGAAGTCGCAGTTGATGCAAAATAATTCATCCAGGTTTCTAACCAACTGAAAGTGTGTGGTGTCTGACATGAATGTTCTGCACTGGTTGCCTGTTGCTTAGTGGGCACAATTAAATGTGTTGTATTCAGTTTTAAAGCCTTAAATGTTTTGGGGTCTGACTACCTAAAGGGCTGCCTGTCCAGATATCAACCTGGCTGTTTAACTCAGCAGAAACAGGCCACTGCACAGAGAGACTTGCCACTCTGGCATGTGGGAAAGTATTGCTCTGAAGTTATTACCAAGCCAGGGGAATGCAGTTTCTCAAGAACTGTTTGGCCAGCACTTTCTCAAAAATTAGGAGCTCTGTAACTAGGCATCTCTGTCACTAGACTTTTCACCATTAAATGAGTTCATTATTTGCTTTATTGATATATTAAATCTATCTTTTTAACTTTTTATATTGTGTTTATTGAAATTTGGGGGGGGGGGGTCTGTTGGGGGAAATATCTTTCTGGGTTGTTTCAAGTGGGGAAAAAGATACTGGAAACATGGAGGCTGTTTGGAAAGAAGGTTTAATGGTGGACTAATGGTGACTTGGAGCTCTTGGGCGAAGAAAGAAAGGGCAGAGATGCTGAGAATCCCTTGGTTTTATGCTCTCTCTGGGCTTTGAACTTCCTGGGGCACAGGAAGAGTATCCTGATTGGTTGTTGTCAGAGGTCATAGCTAGCTTTGTAGGTTGTCTGTGTGTTAAGTTTGGTTGAAACTTGGTGGGTGGTGCAATGAAGGGCAATTCAATGGCTCTGCCTGAAGGAGGTAGATCTTTGTTATGTAGGACTGGGCCAGACTTTAATGGCCCATTAACAGGCAAATACCACCTCTGACTGGCCCCATTAACAGGCAAATACCACCTCTGACTGGGAGGGCTGAGTTTCTGCTGCTCTGAGTTTGTACTTCTCTTTTAGAGGAAATATTCTGCCTTTTTAGTATATCCTAAAATATTTAATTTTTTTTAGGAAGGGGTGGGTTTTAACTTCCAGCAGATCTTGAGTGGTTGCATAGCAGAAAGCAACAATTTACGCGTTGGAATTTGTATCCTTAGCACAGATACATAAGTCACCCTTTTTATAATTCGTTTGGACTTGATCATTAAAAAGGTGAACATACTGGTTGTTAAGAAGTTAAGCTTACATCAATAGTCGATTTCACAATTCATTCTTTCCAGTTTCATAATCCCATATATTATTTCAATGTGGATAGAAATTTGCCAATTTAGTTTTCCCTGAGGCTTCCTTGTATCTTTGAACCTCCAGTTTTGGCAGAGAGCATCAAACAATCTTCCACCAGACTTTGAACCTTTCCTAATTGTTAAGTCATCCTTGAGCTGGCAAAACTACATAACTGCATAAGATTGCTGAATCCATTGCTGATCCCTATCCTGCTTTAGTTTAATGTCATTGCAGTCCCTCCACTTCTCTACAAGGCAATAGGAGGCAATGCTCAGCAAATTTTACACACTTTGAAGCTTAATTTCAATGGTGTTAGAATAAAAGAGAAAACATTACTTTAACAGGTATCTGGCATTCAGTAGTCACCATCATCATTTATTTTGGTCGCTGACCAACACAATTTACATTCAACACTAAAATTAAAATAATCTCATTGACACAGTCGTCTGATCTACATGTCGTAAAAATAACTAACATTTTTTAAAAAAAATATTTTTATTGCAGGTTTTTTTACAAAGTAAAAGCAATACAGATAAAAAAAGAAAGTAAAGAAATGGTGATTAATAGAAAAACAATGAAAAAAGGCATGAAAGAAAAAAGATATAAAGGAGTGGCTTCCAATCTTCTTTACAGCATTTACGAAGACAGTTATATTTAATTCTCTCTCTAAGGTTAAATCATGATTCCCTTCTTTCCATATTCTACCTTTCTAATCATCAAACCCATAAATTACAAGCTCACTTTTTCTGTTTTCAGCAAAAAGTCCATAAAGTGTTTCAGTCATTTAAAAATGACTTTTCCCTAATCACACAAATAAATTATGCCCTCTCTACAAATTCTGTCATCTTTACCAACTATTCCTCCATCATGGGTATTTCAGAGTCTTTCTATCTTTGTGCATGTTTGCCAGTCTGCAGTTTGGGAAAGTGGTTAAGGCACCAGGCTAGAAAGCTGAAGACCACGAGTTCTAGTCCTACCTTAGTTGCGAAAGCCAGCTAGGTGACTTTGGACCAGTCACCATCTCTCAGTCCAACTGAGAGGTTATTATATTGGGAAAAATAGGAGAAGGAAGCTGTGTTGGCTACATACGCCAGAAAGAAAGAAAAGAAAGAAAGAAAAAGAGAAAGAAAGAAGTAGTTTTGATTCAGTTACCACATACAAAAACAATTGTCCTTGTCAAAATATCCAAGTATACATGAGTTCCGCCTGCATCACTCATGGGCTGGGAATGAAATTAAAACCATGTCATGGGGACAAAGCAGACAAAAAGGCTGTTATCAGAACATGTTTGTGAGATTAGGTGCAAATGCCCATAAGATACAGCAAAAATCCTTTTTAAAAACCCCAATGATTTTCTCTATATTAGAAAAGCTTAAGAAGTACGATGGGTGGATGTTCTTCCCACCAGCAAAAATCCACCTATCACCAAACTTTAACAAGTGCTGTCATCTTAAATTTGCTAAGATTGAGAAACACTGGTCTGAAGGAGGCAGCAAATTACGCTTCTATTGTGAAGGCTCCTTCACAGACTGAAAATCTGACTATTCGCTGAAGTAGATGAGACCGGGACGGGGGGGGGGGGTAGGAAGAAACCACTGGAGGTCGTCAGAGGCCACTTTAGAACCAGCAAGCGCCTTCCGTTTGATTGTTTTTTGTTCTGGAACTACAATTCCCAGAAAGCACCAAGACGTCTCATCGGACAGGCATCCGCTGTTCGGATTGGCTCTAAAGCGGTAAAAGGGTGGTGCCTAATTTCTCCCGCGCTCTCCTGTTTTGCCGTGATCATGGCAAGCTTCGATCCCGGTTCTTTGCCTGACTTGCTGCGCCTTTATTACCGCCGCCTCTTCCCCTTCGGCCTTTACGGCCGGTGGCTTCGCTACGGCGATGGTGAGGAAAGGTCGAGGCGTTTCGGGACCTGGTGGGAGGGCCGTGGAAGTCCGCAGGAAACTGCTCAACCAGTTGAAACGTGCGTGACTCTGAGCATGTGCAAAATTCGGCTGCTGAACACTCCATTTCTGTAAGATTGGAAGGAAGGAACTTTTTGAGGTTGAGGTTTAAATGGGTTAAGAAGGGAAGTCAATACGTTTTTTGTGGAGTTTTAAGGTAAGGACAGGGCCATGGGCATTGATGTTGGCGCATCAACATGAGGACAATTTGCAACAAGTGCCGGCCAGATTTCTTTGCACTGTCTAACTGCTTGGATGTACTCACTAATACAAAGATGTGTTGGGGGCTTTTTTTCCAAACCGCTTAAATTGACTCACGAAGCAGGAACAAAGCATCCTCCATAATTTGGAGGCACTGTATCTTTTTGAGTACCAGGTACGTTACACAACCACGTAGAAAGGCCCCTCGTTTGAACTGGATTTTAGAGATGGTATTTAAGAAAAAAATATTTTAGAACATATGCTACAAAAGAATCAAATGTGGGGCAGGGAAGCAACGTTGGTTAGCAGTTATAAAGCATTTTACAAGGATTTTGGTAATTCTGAAGAATTATAAAGTTGGTTTGGGAGCAACTCTGAAAGAGGTACCCAAACTGGTCTATCAGCTTAGTGCAAATAATAGGTATGATCCTCTGCACCTCTTACAGTTTGCGTTCTTTATCGTTACCAACCAGGATATAGAGAATGGAAATATACAGAGTCTATTAGCAAAATGGGGTTTGGTCTGAACAATAAAAAAGCCTGAGACATAAGCTTACCCTACTTGACTTTAGTATAAACAAGATTCTGTTTTTATAGCCTATGGGTGTATCAATAACATAGAGTTCTAGAATTCCCATTGAGTCTGTTTCCTGATTTGGTCCATATCAAAGGACTGGCCTGGGATAATAGATAATTAGCATTTTTCAGAGCTTTCCATTTGCATCATATGCATTGCCTGAGACAACCCTCTAAGGGAAGTTTGATGTAGATGATCTAATACTTAATGACTGACCATCTCATGGATTTATGGAAGAAATGAGATTTGAGGAAATACTCTTATGTTCTGCCATGAAACCAAGATGGGATTGTGTGTTTTCCTTTTCTAGTGTCAAAGAACTATTTTCAGCGACGGGAGTTCTCATTCACACTCCGTGATGATATCTATGTGCGGTATCAGTCTTTCAACACCCCACAGGAATTGGAAAAAGAAATCCAAAAATTGTGTCCATATAAAATCGACATTGGAGCCGTATATTCATGCAAGGTATGGAATGGAATGTTTTGATACGAAGCAGTCTTCCTCAGCCAGGTGCCTACAAAATCTATTCAAACTACAGCCCCCCAAAATGCCTAGAGCAGGGGTGTCAAAC